GTGTGTGTGTGTGTGTGTGTGTGAGTGTGAGTGAATTACAGGCCTTCGCGCCAGACAGACCTGCGTCGAACCCAGGCCACCGACTAGCCGTGTGGCTTTGAATAAGTTATTTAAATTCTCTGATGCCTCAGTTTTCCTATCTTGTAAAATGGGTTTAATAATATACACCTCGAAGGACTGCAGTAGATGTTAACAGGAAGTAAACAAGGTGCTTGATAAAGTCCTGGCACAAACCACTAGAATATCATTATTGTTAGGTAGTGGTTGGTAATAGTACCACTATTCGATGGGCCTTTCTCTTCTCACACCCCCTACCCCTGACGCAAGTCTCAATGCCCCTTCCTCCCACAGTTCCCCGATGGACTCCCACACTCTCTCATCTCACGCTCCTCTCTCTGCTGAGCGCGAGCCCGCTTACCCTGACGGCTGGGCCCGCGAAGCGCGGGCTTGCGGGCAGAGTCCCCCGGGAGCGGCAGCGGCGGCGGCGGCGGCAGCCCCTGACCCGGAGCTCTCCTACTGCCCCGGATTTGCTCCGGGAACCGAGCGAGCCAGTGAGATGGGCGCCCTCGTGCCCAGAGCGGCCTTACGCACTGCCAAAAAAAACCTGGCCGAACCACTCTACCCACTGGATCCTCCCGACTCGCCTGCTCCCTTAGCGTCCTCTAGTCGCGCGCGCGCGCGCGCGCGCCTGATCACGTCTGCTCCTCCCCTTCTGCGCGCCGCGGCGACTCTGCGTGTTCGTCCAACTCGTGAGCTCGCGGGGGCAGCGCGCAGGCGCAAAACCATGAGGGCGCCCCGAGAACAGCGGGGCGGGGCGGCCTCGGAGGACGCATGCGGGACACGACCCGTCCCAGGCCTTGGCGCGGTATTTGCTCTGGCTCAATTCAATTTCGTAACACTACTCCTTTTTGGTTCTTCCGCGCGCCCCGGGGAGAGGCGTGGTCTAGAACTGGTCCCTGCTCGGGGTGGGCGTGGCCTAAACACCAAAGACTGATGAAGGGGTGTGGACCTTCTGACCAAATCCCCCAAATTGCAACGCCCCCGCCCTCCGCGCTGCTTTGATAGACCGTTAAAATCGTTGGCAGGGGCGGATTTGGGGGTAGGGTGGTGGGAGTGGATCCTGATCCCCCTGGACCCGTCAGTTACAAAACATCTATCTCTCGGCTTCCTTTCTGGCAAACAATTAATTACGGGTGAGCAGCACCCCCAAACCCAGTCTCCGTGACGTCCAGCAAGGCCCGCCTCCCTCCTCCCTGCCTCACAGAGTCGGGAAAGCAGCGTTACCACAGCGACCGGCCCGCCGGGGCCTGCTCGAGTTACAAAGAAAACTCGGCCTCCCGTGGGAGAACCGCCCCGCGTCGCCCGGCGGTCCGAGGAGCTCGGAGACGGCGGTCGCTAGGCAGGCTCTACACGCTTTCCTTGAGAGAGCAATGGCCCGGGCCTGGCCTGGGGGCCTCCAAAGCCTCCACCCGCCCCCGATCCTCTCTGGAGAGAGGGGGCTGTCTGCCAACTCCTGTCCTTGGCACCGTGTGCGCAGGCTCGGCTGCAGCGCTGCCTCGTTCTCCCGCACGGGGGGAGAAGACAAAGCACCGACTTCCTGCACACAGCTGTCAATTCCGAGCCGCCCTCCCAGCCTCTCCCTCAAGAGCTCCACCCAGTCCCTGAGACCGGTGACGACGACCCAAAGCCCTTGGGGCCTTCTCCTGAAGAGGGCTGTTGACAAGCGAATAGCAAATTTACCCCCAAGCCACTGCACCTTGCTTTTAAACATTTCCTCAAAAGGGGAATCTCCAAAAGCCTGCTTCCGTTTCCGAGGCTGGAGGCAGAGCAGGCCTTCAGCGGCTATTTCAAACTAGGTCCCCAAAAGCTATTCTCCAGGGAGCTGAACTCCCACACCAAGTCCCCAGGTCGGAGCGTCAAATGCACTTTCTCTGAACCCCACTCCTCATCTCCCCCCCCCCACTTTCAAATGAGGGTCTGTCTCGTCTGTAACACAGGGCTGTGACTATCTCATAAGGTTGTTGCTGTATTAATAGAAAAAAATACCTCACACTGAGGAGGACATGTTACGTCTATTCAATAAGCAGTTGTTTCTGGCCTCTGTTATCCCTGAGATCCTCAGTGTTTGTTAGCTCTGGCGCTGGCTTAACAATCATTCCATTGAACAATACTGACAAGGAGAAAGCAGGCAAAACACTCCCACACCCCACCCATCTTGTGGGTTTCTAATGTCCTTTCACCCACTTGCAATTACATTCAGAAGACCGCCCTATCAGGAGCTAGTCACATGAAGAGCAGTATCCACAATCCTTTCTTAGACTTTTGTTTTTTCCTGCAGCACTGGGCCTGGTATGAACGGAAACAAACAGGAAACACACCATCTACATCTCCAGAAACCCCCACCCTCACCCAGAACTGGGTGTTCATTTCTCAGGTTATTGAAGAGAAATGAAAAGCACACAGATGGCTTGTCGTTCAAGAGGCATTGGAGTGTCGTAAACAGTGGAGTCTCTGCTGTATTTATGGATCGCAAAATTAGAACAAATGTGTAAATCATTGCTTCTCAGTGGGAGGGAGGCCCCAAACGAATGAGAGGGCAATTGGAGAAGAATATATTCAATAATAGAATTTCCTATGTAGAAAAAGAAAAAAGCTATTGTTTTTGGACCACAAACTATAGAAAGTAAGTAAGGCATGAACAAATCTCAGCTAGGAGAGTATAGGTTAAATAAATCGAATAAATTGAAACACTGATTGTAAAATGGTTCTGCTTAAGAAGCAGACGGGAGAAAATCCTTGGCCAGCCAAGCCGTTCTGTGTATTCCCAATGCATTCATTTCTCATCAGGGAAATACAAATCAAAACTACATTGAGATGCCACCTCACACCAGTCAGAGTGGATAAAAGCAGTGACTCAGGAAACAACAGATGTTGGCGAGGATGTGGAGAAATGGGAACCCTCTTGCATTGCTGGTGGGAATGCAAACTGGTACAGTCACTCTGGAAAACATTATGGAGGTTCCTCAAAAAATTAGAAATAGAATTACCCTATGACTTAGCTATAGCACTACTAGGAATTTATCCAAAGGATACAGGAGTGCTGATTCATAGGGGCACATGTACCCCAATGTTTACAGCAGCATTATCAACAATAGCCAAATTATGGAAAGAGCCTAATGTCCATCAACTGATGGATGGATAAAGAAGATGTAGTATACATATACAATGGAGTACTACTTGGCAATGAAAAAGAATGAAATCTTGCCATTTGCAACAACGTGGACGGAACTGGAGGGTATTATGCTAAGTGAATAAGTCAGTCAGAGAAAGACAGCTATCATATGTTTTCACTCATGTGTGGAAGTTAAGAAATTTAACAGAAGACCATGGGGAAGGGAAAGAAAAAAAATAGTTAGAAACCAAGAGGGAGGCAAACCATAAGAGACTTTTAAATAGAGAACAAACTGAGGGTGGGAGGGGTTGGGGGAGTCAGGGGAGAGAGGAAAATGGGTGGTGGGCATTGAGGAGGGCACTTACTGGGATGAGCACTGGGTGTTGTATGTAAGTGATGAATCACGGGAACTACTCCCAAAGCCAAGATGCATTATTTTTTAACAATGCACAGAGCCCCACACAGGGCTTCAAATCATGACCCTGAGATCAAGACTGGAGCTGAGATCAAGAGCCGGCCACTTAACCAACTAAGCCACCCAGGTACCCTGAGATGCATTTCTTAAAGTATAATATGTGTAGGAAGATAATGTTTTAAATGTAAGTTGACCTTTGAACAATGCAGGATTTAAAGGCTCTGATGCCCTGCACTGCACAGCTGAAAATCTTTATATAACTTTTGATACCCCCAAAACTTAACTATTAATAGCCCACTATTAATCAGAAGCCTTACATATGTATTATATACTGTATTCTTTGTTTGAGAGAGAGGGAGCAAGTTCTCAAGCAAGGGAGGGGTAGAGAGAGGGGGAGAGAGAGAGAATCCCAAGCAGCCTCTGCACCATCCACACTGTCCTTACTGTCATCAGGGAGTCCCACGCAGGACTAGAACTCATAAACTATGAGATCATGACCTGAGCCAAAATCAAGAGTCAGACATTTAAACGATTGAGCCACCCAGACACCCCTATATACTATATTCTTACAATGAAGTAAGCTAGAGAAAAGAAAATACTATTTTAAAAAATCACAAGTGAAAATATATTTATAGTACTGTACCATATGAAAAAAAAATTCACATATAAGCAGACCCACACAATTCAAACCTATGTTATTTAAGAGTCAACTGTTTCTGGATTTAGAATATTTTCAGGGATCCCTGGGTGGCTCCAGGAAGCCTGGGTGGCTCAGTCGATTGAACATCAGAAAAGCATCCTTTCCAACCCAGGCACAGCAGAATGGTTCCCACAAAGAAGGGTGGGGAGAAAAAGGCCATTCTGCCATCAGTGAGGTAGTGACCAGAGAATACACCATCAACATTCACAAACGCATCCATGGAGTGACTTACAAGAAGCATGCCCCTCAGGCACTCAAAGAGATCCGGAAATTTGCTATGAAGGAGATGGGGGCTCCAGACATGCGCACTGACACCAGGCTTAACAAAGCTGCCTGGGCCAAAAGAATAAGGAGTGTTCCATACTGTGCCCCATTGTCCATAAAATAGAACGAGCGAGAATGAAGATTCACCAAACAAGCTCTATACACTGGTTATCTATGTGACTGTCACCACTTTCAAAAATTTACAGACTGTTAATGTGGATAAAAATTAACCATTGTCAAATAAAGGTATAAAACTGAAAATAATAATAATAAAGACATATTTTGAAAATGAAAAAGAAGGCAGATGCCTCCAGGCTAGGACCACTATAATCACCCTCTGAGCTCAAGTCTCAAAAACCTTTATATCCATTTGGGTGCCCAATATACTTAAATGCCTGTCAATTGATTGATTCCTTTGTTAAAAGCCACCACCTCACACCAAGTTTAGCTAAAGGTCTGACACTTTGTATGAAGTCTTTTATCAGATTATGTATTTACTTTTAAGTTCAAATCAAGAATGCAGTCAGCTGGCTTTTTTTCTTGGGTGTAGATAGGGTTAACTTCCTGCTTTTGAAGTAAGTTGTCCAGTGCTTTGTTTACATAATTGATAACCCTTCTACTCGCTCTTGGAAATCAAAATCAGCCTTTCCTTAAGTATAAAGCAAAGGTCATGTTTCAAAACCAAGCATTTGAATATTGTTTTGATATTATGATTTGAACCTGGAAAAAACCTTCTGTTCTCTGATGAGATCAGAACTCAGAGTCCTTTTTTTAATCCAGAAATAGATACCAAATCTATTTTATTCCTATCTCATTGGATTTACCTGGATTTTCCTTCTCCTTTAGCATCTACTAAAGTAACAAAATTTTTAAATCTACCAATAATTATAATTTTTTAAAAAGTTTTAAAATTTTTATTTGAGAGAGAGAGTACATGAGCAGAAGAGGAGCAGAGGGAAAGAGAGAGAATCTTAAACAGGCTCCATGTTCAGTATGGCTCAATCCCACAATCCTGGGATCCTGAGATGGTGACCTGAGCTGAAATCAAGTGTTGGATGATTTCAGCTACTGAGCTACCCAGGCCCCAGGAAAAGTTAGCATTTAGATGAAGGAAAAGAAGGACCCAATCAGAGAGAGAGAGAGAATGAGAGAGAGAGAGAGAATGAGAGAGAGGCAGATATTAAGAATGAGAGAAGTAAATTTCAGGCATAGGATAAGAAATGAGTTTTGTATGTTGGAGGTAGTGAACGGAGGCCAGGGCAGCCACACAGAGGTGGACCAAAGGGAGTGAGACCCAAGATGTGGCGGAAAGGAGAGCAGACGCCAGGTGAGGC